TTTACATAAACTAAGAATATGAATTAAATTTAAAGTATACAAACCAATGTAAATTTTGTTTTAAAAATTAGACAATATTCATTTTATAGGCTTTCCCCTTTTAAACAATATTCACATTAGTTTGTATATTATAAATTTAATTTATATTCTTAGTTTATGTTAATTATTTATGGGGAAAACATATAAAAAGTATGTAAATGTTTAATATATTAGTGCTAAAAGTAATATGTTAAAAGGGGAAAAAGTTATAAATGAAAAAAATAATGCTTCTTTGGAATAAAACCACTAACATAAATATAAAATTAATAGAATTCATTTAGAGAAGTATATGCATTGCTTATTATTCCATAAAAATGAATGATTCAAAATCAAATTTTGTATGCAAAAATATAATTCTAAATCAAAAAATATGAAGTGTTCCATACCCTCCATACATATATATGGTACACAGATTAGTATGTTTAAATAATTTAACTTAAAAACATTATTCATTAACTGTTTTGGTTTTCTTTGTTGTTAAATATTTGAATAGAAACATATATAAATGTATAATCAATTAAAATATAAAAATTATACTATAATATCCGAATAAAAAATATGTTTAATGAAATATTTTTAATAGTTTTTTACTAATATATTTTATAAAAAAATTCGTTGGTCAAACATATAGCTCGAAAAATGAACAGGAGTGTTAAAAAAATAGGATTACTAATTCTTAAGATTGAACGCATGAAACTCACAAAAAACTATTAATTTAGTCACCATGTTCAATCAATAAAAAATAAAATAAACTAATGCCAAATCACTACTCCGTATATAATTAAAATTGTCAACTCATTAAAATAATAAATAGGTGGCTGATGACTTGTCAAATAGACCTGTCACATGTAAATTAAATTGCGTGTATATTGTTTGTAATTAAAATAAATAATATATTTTTATATATTTTATTTTCTAATTTTTTTCCCCATCCAAACCCTTTTTTTATATCTTTGGTTTAATTTTATTTGTTTTCCATTCAAAGCATTTCTTTACTTTTGTTTGTAATGTTACTTCATATAAAACATTTTTAAAAAAGGAAAAGAAATTTTTTGTACAAAAATACAAAAAACTTCCCTAATTTGAAGGGAATATTATAATCGAGACATGATTTGTACATAAAATGTATTTTGTTCAATGAAAAAATAATAAAACGTAATTTTTTCAATTCAAAAGTGTTTGGACGAAATTATTAGCGAGACATAAGTCACATAACGTATAAGTCACATAACGTTTAAATTATATACGCAATATTAGTATCTTTAGATAGATATTGTGATAAGATTTCCGATGACATATTATATGTCAAATAATGATTTACGTAAAAAAAAATTATGAGCAAAATCAACATTATAGTAGAAAAAAATTAAGGAAATGAGGAAATTGTATAAAGAATAACGAAAATAAACCATCTTCTATGGCCATGTTCACGATTATCCCCACGCACAGCACTTACGCAATTGGGGGGTGGTGTTCCTTCTCACATCATGCCGCACTTGTCGTGAATCGTGATGCATTCTCGGAAGGAAATAAAATTAATGGTCATTTATATTTCCAAAAAAAAAATTACTTTATTTTTCAATGTAGTATCATTGATTATTATCAACTGGACATTGTACCGTCACTAATGTCCCGTCACTAGGGGTGTTCAATCGGATCGATCCGATCCGATCCGATCCAAAAATTCGGATATCCGAAAGTTTCGGATCATGCAAAACTCATTCCATATCCGATCCGAAAATCTTCGGATATCCGAAATTCGGATATCCGATTTTTCGGATCGAATCATTGGATTATCCAAAAAGTTGAGTTTTTAGCCAAAATTTACAAAAAAAAAAGGTAAAATAGCAAAATCAACCCAAAATATCAAATTCAATATAGATTTACTAAAAGAAAAATTCCACCACTTGGTAATGGCCTAATAAAAAAATGATACCAAATTTAATTTGGGAGTAACTTTGGTAATTTTGCCTAAACAAGCAAAAAAACACTATTAAAACAAAAATTCTAAAATGCTAATGCAAAAAGTCCAAAATGGGTGATTTCCAAAATCAACATAAAATTACATTTAAACATATAGTCATAATATATATCCATAAAATTCCAAAAACATATAGCAAAAAAAAAAAAATCGGATATCCGATTATCCGAAAAAATCCAAAAATTTAATCCATATCCGATCCGATTTTTTTCGGGTATCCGATTCGAAATATCCGCAAGCTAAAATATCGGATCGGATATCCATTTTTCGGATCGGATCGGCCCGGATCGTGGACGGATATTTCGGATCGGATATTTTTGAACACCCCTACCCGTCACTGGACACAATTCAAACTAAACAGGGTCGGCCCATCAACCAAGCATGCCAACTGGATCGGGCCCAATATTTAAAGAGGCCCAACTTTTTAAAATTATCTATATATGTAGTATTCTTCTATATCAAAAAACTAAAAACCAAAATGGCCTAGAGTGGGGTTTGAACTATGTCATATGGGGTGATGGATGCCTAATATTTTCCCTAAGACTATTAATCGGTACAGGTCTAAATATTAGTATCCGGGCCTTATAACAGCGAGAAAATAATAAGAAAAGAGTAATGGACTGTAAACAGAGGTATTGCAGTCAAAGTGTGAACTCAAACCGGGGTCCTTCTCTCTATTCGGTCCACCTTGGGATCGGAATATGCTAAAGGACCGCCGGAATATTCTTTTATTACTCAAGTCTCATCAACGTATTCGCAGTGGTTGGGGAAAATATCCGTGCAATCTTCCTCTTTCCCATAAACAAATTTTTCAGCTCAATGTCATCCACTTATGGACAAATCTATCTGTCCATCCATTATTCTCTATCCTGTCCAAGGAATAACTGTCCGCCCCTTAGAGAGGGCGGCTTACCCTAATCCTCTTTGTAGGCCAGGGTTCCCTTCCTTTGGGTGGCCCGTCCTTAATGGGCTGAGGTCCAGCCCATATCTTAGGCCCCCTACCTTACTTCTTTCCCTATCTTGTCTCCTGGACTGTTAATCATTGCCGGCTCACTTTATTATCTTTGGGTCAGATCTTCCTTATAATGTACGGATCCTAAATTGGGCCGAGACCCAATTTACTGATATTCTCTCGATGGGTTTGGTTCCCATCATGAGGTGTCACAGAGCTTTCATCCCGCTTGAGCTACCAATCTTGTTGATGCAAATGTCACGCATAATGTAATATACTCCCTCTGTCCCAAAAAGAATTTCTTATTTTGATTAACATGCAAAATCCCGTAGTTTTTAAAATCATTTTATTCGCAAATTGGTAAAAAAAATTACACATAAAAAATTATATTTAAAAACTACACCGAAAACTCTACAAAATAAAATGTGACAAGAATAATTCATTTTATCAAATGATCAATGAAAACATGCAAACAAATAAGAGTTATTGTGAAGCCGTTATAGTAAACAAGAAAGACTTTTGGGACGGAGGGAGTATATATTTAGTGTATTGATTGAATAAAACTTATAATTATTTTAAAAAAACACTAGTATATAATATACTTGTTTAATAAACTTTTAAAAATAATTTAAAAAATAAATAAACAAAATAATTTTTGTTATTTTAAAAAAATTAATATGAATTATACCTAAAAAATAATTTTTTTTCAAAACAAAAAATACATAAAATTTTTGTCATCAATAAAAATTAAGTAATATTTAGTAATTATACCTTAAGATATTAAAATTATTTTTTATTCTTCTTTTTCTCATTCCAATCAACTAAATATAAGGGTAACGTGTTACATACGGATTTGGGAGCATTATATAAAAATACATTATCTAGTCTTTACTCTTTTTTAAAAAAATTTGAGTATTGCCTTACTGTATTAGTTTTATTAGATAATTATAATTTATCTTTGATATTAATAAAAAATAATACAAATAGCAAATTGAAAATGTGACGCGAGATGCAAGATGATGTTGAAAATTAATTAATGGAAGAGTGAAAAACGCAAATATAATATCTAATAATATAATATAATTAAATATTATTTTTTTAATTATAGTTAACCGATACGTTGACCCTTGGATTGACCGGTTAATCATTGACCCACTAGCTTGTCCGAGTCGACGTCTGGTCTAAGTTTTAAGACAATTGTTTGGGAAGGTAAGTATTTATAAACTCTTTATTACTCCCTCCGTCCCGCAAAAAGCTTCTCATTTTGATTTCTAAAGGATTTAAGGGGAGTATATTTTGGTGTTGACTTTCCAAAAATACCCTTTGATGTGATGGATAAGGTAGATTGTGATGAGTAGATTAATAGAGAAAAGGTGTGATGTGATAGGTAAGTTAAGAATTAATAGGGGTAAAAATGACTTTTTAATAGAAAAAGAGAAGAGTTTTTTGGGAAGAATGAAAAAGAAAAGGAGAAAGATTTTGTTGGACGGAGGGTGTATAATATTTTATGTCATTTATTTATTTAAATATAATTAGCTTATGTACTTAAATCCGTTAAGACATTAGAAATAAGATCTTTAGAGCCTCTTTTTCTGTCTTGACCCAGACCATCGAGTTTTTAGGGCCGGCCTTGAAACTAAATGTCCAACATCACTGGACATTGTTCCCGCCACTAGACATTATGCAAGTACTATTTAGGAAATAAAAAAGTTTAAGTTTTACATTGAACAATAACATATGTTTTAGTACTATTTAATGCAAATTTTACATTATCAAATTCGACCATAAATTAAACAAAACAAACATGTATTAAATGAATATGAAAATTATATGATGGATCTAAGCTTCATCATAGACTTAGGGACTGTTTGTTTCAGCCTCTTAATGGTTCAGATGTCTGAATGGTTCAGCACTTAATGGTTCAGACTGTTTGTTTCAGCCTCTTAATGGTTCAGATGTCTGAATGGCTCAGACATTTGCCTCTGAATGGTTAAGTATTATACAGAGTCTGAATGGTTAAGACCTTTTATCTGAATTGATCAGACATTTGCCTCTGAATAGTTAAGCAATATACTAGCTCTTAATGGTTCAGACCTCTTACTGGTTCAGCACTTAATGGTTCAGACCTCTTACTGGTTCAGCACTTACCTATTCAGAAGTTGCCAAACAGCCCCTTACATGTGAGCAAAATAAATATTTCTTTATTATTTATATAAGCATTTGTTTTTTTAATGAAAAAATAAAAAAATGTATTTGAAAAGGTCTACAAAACTAGTATATATACTCAAGGTGCACCATAGAAGCACTCAAATGAAAAATGATATTTGCACTATATTTTTTGTTATTAGCACTCAAAAATACGTCATTTATTCTTTTAAATTGTTCGATGCATTTTGCATGCCAAACGTTTGACTAACAATATAAAAGAAATACATCGAATTATAATATAAGAGTTATACAAAATTATTGAAATCCAAAAATACTCTTAGTATATTATTTTTAGTATTTTGTTTTCTAAAATACTTTATGAGATATTGTTGGTCAATCTTTAATCTCAAAAAAGCCACCGAATAGTTAAAATGGAATGGATGGAGTACATTATTAACTTTTTAAGAAAATGAACAATGACTAGTAAAAAATGAAATGTCACACGATGAAGTGGAATATTTTAATCAATCAAAATCAGTTCAATCAGCGTATGGCAAATAAATGGAGTGACATGTCTAGCAATGATAAATCATTATTCTTGCAATGATAAATAATTATTTTTACACTTTTAAGCATATTTTAATTATTATTCCGTAAAAATTATTTTACTTATCTTTTTTTATAAAGATAGATGTAGTTGTTTTTTAAGAGAATTTTTTTGTACAAAACAAAACTGGCACACGTCGGTTCGATTCAGTTTTGAATTCAATTCGATTTGATTTTTTCTTGTTTCGGTTTAGTTTCCATTCGAATTTATATTTGTTCGAGATCATATCAGTTCAGGTTAATACTGGCTCATGTTTATACTAGTTTAGGTTTATATCGATTTAGGTTTATATCAGTTTCAGATGACATCCCTTGGTATTAGAGTGCCCAATATTAGCCTCGTGTGCAGTCTTCCCTCCCTATGTGTAATTAGTGGTATATATACAAGTGTAAGCAATAATGGGCCACTTTTAATCGTTCTTTCCCTATCTGTTATTGCCAGGTTATTGTTACCAAAGGTTCTTGGCACAAAGCTTCCTCAACTCCTCAGCCACCTTATCGATCTCTTTGTCGCCTTTCTCCGCCAGCATCTCACCCAATGCTTAGTATAGTTGCCTTTCTTTCCAAGAATCAAACCTGCGTCTTATCCTCTTGGCACTCCTTGTCTTACCAACCGCGCAACGCCTACTCGCAATTATATGTTTCATAATTTTATGTGAAATTTGCAGTGAATAGGACTAAAACATAAGTCATCTCTCTCGAAAATATATTAAACATATAATATTACATTTTTAAACGTAAAAATACTACACATAATATTAAATTTCCACCCAGCAAGTATAGCATCTATGTTTGGTTGTGCGTAATGCCTCACGGAGGGGTGTGTGTGATCCGTCATGAGAGTGCCACGTAGGCGGTGATGACGGATGAACACCACCCCTCCTCTAGAAAACAACCCCACAAAAGATGTTTTCTTGGGAATTGTGGTTGAAGTTACACATTAAGGGTTCTAGCAACAGCTAGTCTTAGTTCTGCCATGGATTTTCTACAGTCTTTCCAAGAAAAAAGATGAAAAAAGCCATGACCAAAACAGCGAGCACCACCTTGTATCCATTGGTGGCTATTGTGATCTTGGATTTGACATGGAAGGCTTTTTGAGACCTTCTGCAAAGGTTCTTGGCACAAAGCTTCCTCAACTCCTCAGCCACATTATCGATCTCTTTGTTGCCTTTCTCCGCCAGCATCTCATGCATTGCCGCCGCATTTTCCCTCACGCCTTTTCCACCCTCCCCCTAAACCACCGCTTTGATCACCACCACTATTTTACGGCGGTGGTGCTTTCCACTGCTGTCCCTGACAACTTCCATTGCCACCCCTACCTCAGCGCCAGCTTGGCATTCACGGGCTGGTCGATTTGCATGGGCATGGCAATGATAGGGACCCCGTATTTCATGCCCTCCATGACCGAGCTCCTCCCGCAGTGGCTCACAAACCCTCTGATGCTCGGGTGCTCCAAGATCTTTGCTTGTGGGGCCACACCTGTGACGACCAAACCTCTATCCCCGACCCTTTCTAAGAACCCGTCTGGCAAGACATGTTTGAGAGCGTCATGGTTTGCTTCTTTGGGAAACCTTAAAACCCAAACGAAGTTAAGGTTGCTAAGGTAGAGATCATGAGCGATCTCAGACAAGTCTTCTTCGGTCAAGAAGTACTCGCTTCCGAAGGAAACGAATACCAAGATCAAAACCAATAAGCTTTATGGATGAGTTTTATCGGTTAGTCTCAAGAAATTGCAAAGAAAATAAACATTAAAACTCATTCATGAAGGTTACTGGTTTCGAATTTGGGTTCCACCCGTTAGACAAACAATTGAGAGAAGAGTGATGATTTCAGTTTTGGGTTCAAAAGCTTCAAACTCAGCGACGGGTTTGGGAAAGGAATGCGAGGGGAGGGAGGAAGCTTAATTGAGGAGAGAAAAGGGTGTGAATTTACAATTTTATCCACGTTCTTAACGGAAATGTTAACAAAGGACCATTCGTTAAATGAATATAATAATTGGGGACTAAATTAATAATATTTGATATGTAGGGACTAAATATGTAAAATGATCTATAAGTTAGGACCTTTTATGGAATTTACTCTTTATTTAAATTAAAATTACTTAAAATAAAAACATGAAATAAATCTCTAAATAATGTTAAAATTAAAATTACAATGACATAGTGATAAAAAATAGGTGGAGCTAAACATTAAAAAATCTAAGGAAAATAATTATGCAATTAAAAAAGGTACAATTAAAAAAGATTAATTTCTTTTAAACAACTTAAAAACTAAAAACAAAAAAAAAGAGGAATGAAGCGTGATGGCGATAATGGTGATCACACGCATCATGGTAACGGGAAGAGGGGTGCGGTATCCCCTCTCCACCCTGGTCTAACGTGGTGCATTAGGGTACCATTGAAGCCTTTCAGATCATCGGAGATGGGGCTCATCTTTTACAAAAAAAAAATATGATTAGGTTAATTTGATTGGGGTGGGGTGTGACTTGTGAGAGCAGGGGCGGACCCACATAGAGTCACACGGGGTCACGCGACCCCACGGAATTTTGTAATTTTTTTCTATATATTTATATATATTTAGGTAAAAATATAGTATTACTATATATTTAGCAAAACGCAAAAGTTAAAACACGGATGCTTAGACGGAGTGGATAGCGGCGGCATTGCTAGTGGTAACTTTGATCTCAGGTTGAAGGTTTGAAACTTGGTTGCTACAATTTTGAACCACATTTCGTTTATTTTGTTTCCCTTTTCCATTTTTTTTTGTACGTTCTTTTTTGTTTTTCTTTTTTTTTTGTTTCATTCTTTAATTGCATAGTCATATTCTTCCTCACATAATTATTTTTACTTTTTTTAATAACTCTAAAATAAAAAAATCTTTTATGAATTTATGTATACTTTATTTACAAATTGGTATTGATATAAAAATTACTTTTTGTTTATTTTGTTTCCCTTTTCCATTTTTTTGTACGTTTCTTTTTTGTTTTTCTTTTTTTTTTGTTTCATTTCCTTCATTGCCTAGTCATATTCTTTCCTTACATAATTGATTTTACTTTTTTTAACAACTCTAAAATAAAAAATCTTTTATGTATACTTTATTTACAAATTGGTATTGAAATAAAAATTAATATTCGTCTAAATTGACTTTTGAAGTCAAACTAGATAAATTTTGATTATCGGTCAATTTAAATTTGAATAGGTTACCGAAATAAAATTAATTTTATTAGATTTATCTTGTCAATTTTTTTCTGAAATTTATTTCTTTTTTAAAATATACCATGCAAAATTTATTTAATTGGCATTAAAATTAATCCAATTCAATATTTTTTTAATAAATCTAATCTTTAACTTTATGAGTTATTCCCATCATCTCGTTATGCTTGACTTAAACATTATTTACAAAGTTAAATTAGATAGTTTTTCATTACATGTTTTTGTCTATCATTTTATTAAAAATTATAGTCATGAAAACTCTTATTTCATAAAACATTTTATGTTAGTTTTAAATCTAAAACTTTAAGTTTTTATTCGACACCAATATTTAAATAAATTTAAAAAAATGTTTTAGTTAAACATTATAAACTGAAATGAGACACATGTGACAAGAAAGTACATTTTTACTTAACGTTCGACATGTCATGTGTTGATAAAATATCTCAGAGACACGACACCACGATCCAAAATTTCTGGGTCCGCCACTGTTTGTGCCACTGTGTGAGAGTATCCATCCAAACTTATGTTCAATGAAAAAATGGGTTAAATCTCACTTTGACCACTTTCTAAGGAATGTACCAACCTCCTCCTTGGTTTAATATCCAAAAATGCCTCTAACAACCTCATATTCAAATGAAACTGTAAAAACAGAAAGTATTTCTTCCTACATGGGAATTGACTTTTCATATTTTCGTTTCTAATTTTTACTATTTTCGGTTACTTATTCCCCATTCATTAGCTAGTACTCCGTAGTATATAGTGTGACTACTACAATTGAAATTGAAAATAATAATAATAACATGTGGTGAAGAAACATTGTCATGTTCTCCTACAGTAACATTATGGAAAACTAATAAATTCCTTTCCTTAATATTATCACTATATACCGAGTATATATTATTATTCCTTATTTTTTTTTTTGTAAAATTCAAATCTAAGGTTATTTTTATATGGTTTAGTTTTTTTTATTTTTATTACTAGTAACTTTATTATAATGTGTATTTTTTCAATCTATTGAAACACAAAAAAATAATATAAATCTCTATCGAGGTTTCAAGTAGTAAGCTTTTCAACTAGAATCCTTGAGGAATTTAATTGTATTAAAAAATTTATCAAGTGATAACTGTAAGTTTTCTAATTGCACCATTATTTAAAATTACTCCATGTGTCCATAGAAGAAATGTTCATTTGCTTTTTCAGAGAATCTTAAGAACAATAAAATTATACAATGAAAATTTATGCAGAGAATGAAAATAATACGGAGTATAAAGTATTCATTTCTTACTCTAAATGATAAGAGAGCTACTCATCCTTAATGTTAAAGGTAGTCTGTTATTCTGGCATGACTCTATTACAATGTAGTACTCCTTCCGTTTCTCAAAAGGGTTCCTCTTTTGACTTTGGGGAAAAATAAGGAAGTGTTAAATTATAGTTGACTTTCCAATTTTGCTCTTGATGTGATGGATAAAAGTAAGATGTGATAGTTTAATTGTTAGTGAAAAAGTATGATGTGATAGGTATGGTATGAAATAGTAGGGATAAAAGTGGTTTTTTAATAGAAAAGGGAAGTGTTTTAAGAAAAACAAAAAAAATGAAAGAGGAAGGTTTTTAAGAAACGGATGGATTATTTGTTTATACTATTTTTAGCCTAATAATATGAATCATAAAAAGTCAACTTCTTTTGTCCGCTGATGCTCGAATTTGAGTGAACATCTCCATTAGTTCTGAGGAGTGGTCGAGTTTCATACTACCCAAGCCATAGGTGTAGTTCACTAGCACGAATCTTTAGAAAATAAATTTAATCAAATATAATGTTTTTATACTGAGTATCAACTCTCATTCCTTGATTGGTAGGAAGCTCACTCCTTAAAATTAATGAGAAAGTTCACCCAATTAAGTTCGAGTCCTAGCGGAGACGTTAGCTCTTTGTGTATCATTAGGTTGAAAAATGTATAAACATGTACTACATTGTAATAAAGTCAATAATATTAAAAAAAATACTGAATATTTTTAATACAATCCATAATTAAGTATAGTTTTTTACGATTGTAACTAAATATCATATATTTTTTATTGTGAAAGCTAATCTAACTAAACATTAGGTTGTGACTATTTAATCATATTTTTCTTCTTTAAATGTCTCTAAAAATATGCTTAATGCTTTAGAGGATTCAATGTCATTAATTTATAGAAGGACGTGAACCTTGTTTGGGTAGAACAATTTTTATTAGCGTTAGAATTTTGGATAAATTTTTAATGATGTAGATTAATTTTGAAAACGTTAAAGCTAAAGACTCTCGTCTGATAGTAGTGTCGAAACACTAACAGTAAGTCAGTAACCTTTTACATTGATGTCAAAAAGGCTCGTGATATACATCAAATATAATGATCTTTAAAATAAGAAGTGACACAAATATTTTATTTTATCAAGGCCATGTTGAATTGAGGACCATGTTGCATTGCATATGTTGCACATCATCACGGCCGGCTCTTGCTAACGATTTTCCTATTTTAAAGAAAATAAAATTAAAAAAAAGGAAAGCGACATTTTCTTATGATGTTGAAATAAATAAGGTAAAAATTGACTATATTTACTCACTGACCATATGGGGAGGGGCATGTGTATAAATATAGTAATAGGAGACAATGGCCCTTAAAGAGTGGAAATAATAATTAAAAAAAAGGACAATGAAAAAAAATTCTTGAAAATGATCGAGCTATGCATTAATTTACAAAAATTTAAATTAGGAAAATGTTTTTAATTTAATTTAATTAGTTCCATAATTACTTTTTTTCTTTCCATGATGGTGATTGTTCACTGTTCTCTTTGTCTTATTGTGACCACATTTTATTCTTCTCTATATATATAAGACTCCAAACAGCTTCTTCACAACTCCCTAATTAACCTCCCCAAGTTTTCTTTCTTTCCCATTTCTCTATTTGTATTAAAACACAAAAAAAAAATGGAAGAAATGGCTTCTTTATGGACTTATCAAGAGGTAAATTCATTCATTTACATGTATTAAGATTGCATGAACTTAGTTAATCATGATAATTATTCATATAATTACATTTTTTTGTTTTTGGCATGTAGACAATGGATGAATTGAGGCAGAAACTTTTGTACACAACCATAGAACTGCAACGGTTGAAGGTTCAATCCATGGAGGAGACGAGGAAGAACAAAGAATACATGGACCAACTCGTTCAACTCGTTCAATCGGTTATAAGGGAAAGAGACGAAGCTAGGAGCCAGGTCCAGAAGATTCTGAGCGGGACCCACGGGTTCGTAACGAACCCCGTGAGTTTCGCCAGAACCAATTCTGGACTGACGGACTCGACCAACAACAGTCTCTCTGAGAACAACACCCAGAACCATTACTGTTCCTCCCCGGTCGAGTCCTTGCTCGACCCGGTCCCGTCCCCGGGCGGGCCGGGCGAACAGAACGGTCGGAGGGCGGCGGCAGTGCTTGACCGGGGCGGCATGGTGATCGACGGGCTGGCGAGGGGCAGGCCGCTGCCCGAGAAAGGGAAGTTCCTGACCGCCGTCCTCGAGGCGGGCCCGCTCCTGCAGACGCATCTCCTGGCGGGCCCGCTCCCCAGGTGGCGGAACCCGCCCCAGCTCAAGCCGTTCCACATCCCGCAGGTCTCGCTGGCGAGAGCCTGCAGCGGGGACCACGACGGCGGCGACGGCCTCGTAACCGCCGCCGCCGCTGTGGCCCGGTCGAGAATGGCGGAGGCGCAGCCTTACTTTGAGATGTCATGTGGGTCTTCATCACAAATGATGTCAAATTATGGGATGCTGAGTTTTGGCAGTGCCCCTCCTTCGGTGATATCAGCAGGTTCGGATTTTGACTGTTATGGCCATATCAGCAAAAGACAAAGGCTTAATTGAAAACTATACATATACATACATATATGGATGGATTTGATAGAAATATACTCTCTCTCCTAAAAAAATGTTCATCTTTCATTTTTTGCGCATTCCGTAAAACATTTCTATCTCGTCTCAAATACCAAAAAAAGTTTCAAAATAATTTCTACCTACAATAAAGAAGAAAGGTAATAGATTTTAGGCATTTTAGACGTGAATAAAAGTGTTTTATGAGATGCGCAAAAAATGAAAATAAACATTTTTTTAGGGCGGAGAGAGTGTAATATATATTGTATGTATAAAGATCAAAGATGTATGGAGATTGGAGGGCAGGTGATGTAAATGGGATATATAGTATGATATTTGAGTTTGATTATATATATATTGGAATATATAATTTGGTTTTTGGATTTCAATATATAGACAGCAAAATTAACTTTCTTCCCATATTTCCCTTTCATCCAAAAAAGAGGTTTTATCACTCAAAAAAGAGCTTTCTTATATCTGATCTGCTAGGCTTTAGATTTACATACATATATATATATAAGCCTTATTTAATTTGTTGAAACTTCTGCCTAGGCAGCCCCTAACGATTTCAAGAACATTATGCTGGAAGAGAAAACTAAGAACTATTTAAATAGGAGTAAACAAATTTTATCCATCCAATTATTCCAAACTACTCTTGTCTCCCATTAATCTTTTTGGGACGCTACTCACATGGGCAAACTTAACTAATATTGTTTACTTATTTTTACTATTTATTTGAAAAAGTATTATGCATTTTTTAGACAGTATTATTATGTAATTATTAAATGTGTATATATCAATTTTTTAAGTATTATTAACTCGATTACGATATACTCTCTCCGTCCTAAAACTTTCTTTCCAGAGCATTATTCCAACTTCACGAGAATTTATATTTATTTGTGTTTTTTCATGGCCTATATGATAAAATAAAATATTCTTGTCACCACTTGTTTTGTTGAACTTTTGATGTAGTTTTTAAATATGTATGCTTTATTTTTTATTTCTATACCAATATTTAAATAAAATAGATTGAAAAAACTTGGGATTTTTTTTCGTTTTGCGAACCGGGAAGAAAGATATAGGACGGAAGGAGTAGTATATGTTCATATTCTCTCAACCTAAAAATGCATATATGCACACTAAGCCAATGTATCAACCTCCAATGAGACTTGAACATGAGTGAGTTTTTTTATTAATCTTGGGAAGTGAGCTTCTTATCATTCTCGCTAAAGAAAAAGCTCAGTGGATATATCAATTTAATACTCCGTAATATGTACTCTGTATATTTTATAAGTATATGCTAATAAAAAAATAAAAAAGTAATAAAAAAAGAATACAGAACATGCAAAACAAATACTACCTCCGTCCCGTTATATTCGTCTACTTTTGACTTTTGGAACTGTTCATCTAAGCACTTTGACTCATTAAATTTTTCAATGTGTAAGCCTAAATATAATCATGTGTGATCTTGTTTGATTTGTCTTAACATATACTCCGTAGATTATTAATATATAATTTCTATAATTTTTTAATATACAAATTACAATATAAAATGGATTAAAGAAGTGTATTGGATAGTGTGTAAAAATGAAAGTGGATAAATACTCTGGGACAGAAGGAGTACGAAGTATTTCTAGTAAACCCGATCACGAGTCTCAGAACCTGCCCAACCCATAAAATTCTGCTGAAAAAGTATGGACTCGAGCTTGAGTTTTTATGTATGGGCTGGCCCGACTTGTAATTTAAGGGGCCCGTATGTGACGAGGACCGGGTATGAGTGGTGATGTTCAAGCCTGCGGGCTTAATTTTGTACTCCATAGTATATTTGTCACATTTGACTTTTCTTAGTCAAATTGGACAAACCTTGATAATCATTTACTTTCAATGTATCGCATATTAATACAATGAAATAAATTTTGAAAATTTACAAAACGTAACTCTAAATTTTTTATTTAAATTTAAATTAAATGAAGAAGAAGAAGAAAAAAGAATGGGTGCGTGGGGGGTGGTGGGGCTGGATGGGAAAGAGGAAGAGAGAAAAGGGAGGGAAGGGTGGGGTCAAAATAAAAAATTTAAATTTATAAATTTATAATTTAACCCTAAATGACCTGAAGGTGGCCTAGAAACCGCCTATTGAACCATCGGTGAAAAAATGTTGAAAGTTCGTGGTAGTATTGTGATAGAAATTAAAGTTTATATACCGAAATGAAATAGTGATGAAAGTTCATATATCATAAGTGAAGTTTACCTCATCTATGCAAATCTTAGTGCCAATCTTAGTGTAGCTCTAGGATTGTTTTTTTAAGGGAAACGTAAATGTGCATTAAATACTCAAGTTCGGTTAACAAACCAAAGTGGATACAGAGGACGCAGTAGGGTCCACGCGTCCACCGTGTCTTCAAATGACTTGTCAGATTTTACTAGTGCTGTAAAAAAAACTGCAACAAAAGGTCGCCGAACTGTAAAAACTTTTCTTTACTCTCGATCGGAATAAGCTATCCCGGCGAACGTCTCCGGAGATCCACCCGTACGCATCCGTCCGGACCGGAGGAGTTGGTGTCTATCTGGTTGCAATTGGGTGGCATATGGCGGAACCACCGTCGCCGCCGGCGAAGGACAACAAGCTGTTCAAGGGAATTTTCGCTGTGACGGGGATCATGTCAACCCTCGTCATCTATGGTGTCTTACAGGTACCTTCCTTTCTTTTTTATACATATATGAATACCAAGATCGTTTATAACCGATGTTTTTGTATAATTTATCAACGCTTATTGGAAATGGATAAGCTAGGGCTTATAAATTCCAAATTGAAATCCACCTCCTATGTTTTGCAATTGAAATTACATTGATGCTTCATTTATGAAGAATGTACTCTTACTTTCATTTTTAAATTAAATGTTAAGGATATTGTTGAACCTTTTAGCTGTTTTTGTAGTATTTTATGGAAATAATTTTATTGAACACCATTGGAATGCTTCATTGCAGGAAAAGATAATAAGGGTTCCATATGGATCAAATAAAGAGTATTTCACTTACTCGTTGTTTCTTGTGTTCTGTAATCGCATTACAACATCTGCTGTCTCTGGTGGATTTTTACTGGTAATTTGCTATTTTGGTGTAGCATTTCATGGTTAATTTTATGTAATGCAGCATCTCATATGTAATCGGGAGTAGAACTCTAATTTTGTTCTTTCCACCTTTTTAAAATAAAATTTATGATACTCAATAGTCCCCGAAGATGATAATCAGGTTATACAAAATTATAGCATCTGAATTACCAATCATACTTCTTTCATCTTTCCTTTCTGATTACAGGCAAGCAAGAAGGTCTTAGATCCTGTAGCTCCACTTTATAAATATTGTATTATATCTGTTTCAAACATTTTGACCACAACATGTCAGTACGAGGTTAGTTCTGCCTCTTAGCAGTATATGTTGTTTTTTTTGGGTGCCATATAATGCATTGTTTTGGATCATTGATATTCTCACTGAAAGTTCTCAACAAAGTTGGTGCTGTACAAAATAAACTATTATATATGGAGTATATGTTTTGTGTTTCAGGCCCTCAAATATGTAAGCTTTCCTGTTCAAACCTTAGCAAAGTGTGCCAAGATGATTCCTGTAATGGTATGTTAATTATGCATATGTTTAAATAGAGAAAAATATATAGATTCATTTGGATTCTTGTAACAATAATCCTTCTACCTCTTCCTTAGTATTTCCCATGGTTTTAAGACTTTCAGTAATAAATGACAAGATTGGGCTCTAGTATATACTGTGTCTCAGTTATTTAGACATTTTTCCTTTTGCATTTATACAGCTCCTTTTTCCAAGTATTTTAATGTGACTGCGCTCATGTATCTGTATTTACATTTGCTTCAATTCCATTAAATTAAAAATGTCAAATTTTATATATGAAGATTTCACACTTTTCCTTAGGGCCATTTAGAGATTGTAATAAAAATTGTGGTTAAGTATTGCATTGTTTTGCTAGAATGCTAAAACAAGTTACCTTGCAAGTTTTTCGATACATGATTTTTTTATGGGATTTTGTATTTGATATCTATATCACTTCTCTGACCATGTAGATATGGGGCACTCTCATCATGCAAAAGAAGTACCAAGGACAAGATTATTTGTTGGCTTTCCTGGTGACACTTGGGTGTTCATTATTTATTCTATACCCGGTATCAATCATTCCTTTATCTTATGCTTGCCAGTCTTGGATAGCTTAAGCATAAAAGTAGACCAACCGAATTTAACGAAGATTCTATATTCCACTCTTTTGGAGGACGTATATTCATATCACAATAGGCTGGGTTATGTTTGAGAGTTCCGAGTCAAATTATGTATATAAAAGTTTTCATTTCCCTTCTTCAATAGCCTGTAAAGAGTTATCCAGAGAATCAGGATGTCATACCTATTTTCTCCTGCATAATTCCACCAGTTATCATATATTTTAAAGTGGCCCCTTTTCTAATGTAGCAATTCCATCTCCGCTACAGTAGTGTTCTAGGCATCTTGAGCTTTCTACTTAATATTTCGCCTAACACAGCATAGTTGTGCTTGGATCAATATATCCGGAATTCCGGTACTGTAAGTATTTTTGAGTTTGGATGTTCATTGTTCACACACATTTGTGCCAATTTCAAATAAGTTAACTTTAAGATACGACCAATGGAGTTTATTTTTCAGTCAATATGATGAAACTGATCTCTGCTGAAAATAGTGCTAACATGAAAAGTATGATGAAATAATATTTTGCTTTGAAATTTTTTCTGTCTTTGACATTCCAACTTTTGGGACTCTTGCGATACTGGAAATAATATCTTAATGAAATAATGATGACATATGATACGAGTAATGCAGGCTAAACCAGTTTATCATTTCCAGTTCTTATAACAACATATCTGCAATGTGATTTTGGTTCTAGGGAGCAGGTGATATTAGTCCTTACAGTAAGGGAAGGGAAAGCACTGTTTTGGGAGTTTCCCTTATGATCGGGTACCTTGGGTATGAATCTAACACTTCTTTATCTGCTTCAAAACTTTGTGCTATTCCATTCAGTTTATCATTTTATACTCTTATATCCACTTTTTTGCTTAGATATTAAATTTTAACAGACGTTTATTCTGATTATTTTCTGTGGTGCAAACCGAACTATATTTAAAGTATTTGGCTATTTTATTCTGTAAAATAGGGGATGAGAGTATCTTTATGTCCATTTTATCCTCTTGCTACCCCTCTCATATTTTCAATGGCAAGTAACTATTTTTTTAATGCCAGGTTCGATGGCTTTACAAGCACATTCCAGGATAAACTCTTTAAAGGCTACGATATGGAAATACACAATCAGATATTTTACACAACATTATGTACATGCTTCCTCAGTTTCTTTGGTACGATTCGTTTTCTGCTTTAAATTCCAACGATTGATCAAATTTGTTGCTTTATCTTTTTGTAGATTTTGTTGGTTTATTCTGCTAAAGCTCCTTTTCTAATCCTGTTTTGGGGACAAGTGTTTTCTTTCTTACCACTTGTCTTTATGGTTCATGTTTAGGTCTCATCTTACAGGGAAATCTTCTCATGGCAATAAATTTTGTTTCACTTCACCATGATTGTTTCTTTGACATTCTTCTCCTTTCAAGTGTAAGTTGATTTTATGCCTTAACTGTCATGTGCTCTCTGTGTCCCAAAAAAGGATTCCACATTTTCTTTTGGGTCAGTCCTAAAATGCGGTTCCACTTTTCTTTCATGGAAAGAGTCTGTGTGGCTCATCTTATTTCTCTCTCCTCCTCTCCAATGTGGCTCCTCTTATTTTCTTACCTTTGAAAATATGAAAGCCAAGAATATGAAAATATGAGAATAACTAATATGATGGATGAATCACAGGTGGCTACAGCCAGTCAGTTCTTTATTTCTTACACAATCCGAACTTTTGGTGCTCTCACCTTTGCTACAATAATGACCACAAGACAGGTATGGATATAACATTTTGACATTGGGGTGTTTGGTTCACGAAATGTGAAAATCACTTTATCCAAACTAAGGTATGTTACATTACCCGGGCAAGTCGCATTTCGTGAACCAAAACAATCAAACATCTCACTTATCTGAACCATGAAATCGTTCTAATCTTTAATCCCGTGTTGATACAGTTAGCTAGCATTCTCCTGTCATGCTTGTGGTTTGGCCACCCTCTCAGCTGGGAACAATGTGTTGGAGCTGTGAGTGGTTGAATTATTTCACCGGTTTTATATACGGAGTATATATATTTTTTAAAAAAACTTAAGAACTAATTGTTGTTTAACTTCTACTCCTTCAGGTGATCGTGTTCAGCTCCCTTTACTCGAAAAGCTTTTTGATAAAGAAACCAAAACCTTTGCACACCGAAGATTTGGAGAATGGAGATTCTGTCCCAATTAAAGGGTAATAATGCTAACTGTTAAGGGCCATTCGTTCATTTTTTTTCTTTTTTGGTTAATGGTTATGGTTAGGTTAGGTTAGGCAAAGTGATGAATGATCTTTTATGTGAGAAAGTAGAAGACAATGGAACTCAAAAAGAGCATACAAAAGAAACCATGTTCTATAAATATATATATAGCTGGAATTATATGCGGAGTAATATTTTTGGGATTCTTATTGTACACTATATGTTGCTTTAAGCTTTCTTCTGAAAGAAAGTTTTATACGTCCATGCAGTGCCCTGAATTATTATTGATCGTCAATTCAGTTGTCTTTATTTCATGAAATTTACATCTAAAAAAAATTGTTAAAAAAAAAATACGGAGTATATAGTGTAGTTAAAATGTGTGTAAAAAAGTGTAAGAAAATATTGGCTTCCTTCTTTTGACAACAACTCTTATTGTCAAAATATGAAAACGTCTACGGTGTTTCGTTCGAAATATTGATAGTTCCTATCCTCCTAACTCCCCCTTAAATCCCCCTTGCCCCCTCCTCAAATCGCCGATTGACTACAATATAAATCGTCAATTGGCTAAAATAATATTGTAGCCAATCCGTGATTTGGGGAGAGGGGCAAAGGGGTGCTGGGTTGGGGGTCGGAGGGTTATGAAGAGTAGGAATCATCAATTTTTTGAACAGAGCACCGTAAGTGTTATTGTCATATTATGACACGAGTTGTTGTCAAAAGAAAGGAGCCGAGAAAATAGATGGAGTATAGAGGGTAATGTGTGTAGAAGAGAGAACATTGTGAGACAAATGTTCTATTCTTTGATTGGAAATGGGTTAAGCGTTATTTCTCCCAAAACTCTTTATAAGTACTCGGTATATTTTTTCGAACTTCTAAAAATATATAATTAATCTATACACTTTAAAAATTAAAAATTGTACATGATTGATCTTCGTGTATAATGTTCTAACTTCTAAGAGCATGTGCAGTGGCAAGGAAAAGGAATGTCTTGCACTGCCACATCAGCTTCTTTCTCTTATATCATGGCATGACAAAGGTAAAATGTCATGCTTGGTGAGACATGAGTGTGGCACTCCACTCTTCATTTCTTCTTTTTTATAATTTTTTTTAAATTTTTGTTTAAATATTTTTATGAAAAAATGTACTTCGGTATAAGAAAGTAGAATAATTTTTTGATAAAATAAGTAATAAAAATACTTTTTTATATTCAAAAAATATAAAAAAAACTGAAAAAAAGTGATAAAAATAATGACTTGTCATTGTAGAGCTTGTTACTTCACTCATTTGTCATACGCTGACTGGACTATTCTTGATTAGTTAAAATATTTCAAGACACCGTGTGACATTCCATTTTTTGCCTCGTCATTATTGATGCTCTATGTGTCTTGAAGACACCACCTTTCACATAATACAACTATGAATTCTTTTAAAGAAATATCTTATATGTCTCAAAAAAATTGCCACAATTCAATATTCAAAAATTATGAGAAACTTTAATTTATTTGTACATTTTTCATAGATTATTTGATAAAATAAAATATTTTTTCACTTTTTGTTTTAAATAATTTTTCATGTAGTTTTTAGTTTTGAAAATTATTAGTTTTATTTTTATACAAATCCTTAATAAATTGAAAAAACTTAAACTTTCGTTTCGTTTTGTGTTATATGGGCAATGTTTTGGGATGGACAGAGAATATAACTTCTTTGTTGTCAAAAAGACTTTTTGCATACATTAATATATGAGCCAAGTTATTTTTCAAAATTGGATCTCCTAAAATTGATGTGATTTTTTTTCGGGAAATTTTTCCTAAATAAGACTGAGATATAATGACTTTTTTAATACTCCCTCCGTCTCAGAGTATTCGTCCGGTTTTGACTTTTGGAATTGTTCATCTAAGCACTTTGACTCATCAAATTCTCTCAATGTGTAAGCCTAAATATAGTCATGTGTGATCTTGTTTGATTTGTCTTAACATATAGATTATTAATATATAATTTCTATAATTTTTTAATATACAAATTACAAGATAAAATGGATTAAAGAAGTGTATTGGATGGTGTGTAAAAATGAAAAAGGACAAATACTCTGGGACGGAGGTNTCCCTCCGTCTCAGAGTATTCGTCCGGTTTTGACTTTTGGAATTGTTCATCTAAGCACTTTGACTCATCAAATTCTCTCAATGTGTAAGCCTAAATATAGTCATGTGTGATCTTGTTTGATTTGTCTTAACATATAGATTATTAATATATAATTTCTATAATTTTTTAATATACAAATTACAAGATAAAATGGATTAAAGAAGTGTATTGGATGGTGTGTAAAAATGAAAAAGGACAAATACTCTGGGACGGAGGTAATATATGACTATATGTTTTTATTTTTCAATGTAGAATTATGATTCATTATCCCTTAGTTATTATTGAAGTAAATGTCTACCATCACTAGACATTATTTCTCTCACTAGACATTATTAAAATATATTTAGGTAATAAAAAAGTTTAACTCCTACATGGGGAAATCACTTCTGTTTAAGTCCTATTTAGTGCAAACTTTTCATTTTTTTACAGAATAAAATAACTACATGTAAGATTGAAAACTCAATTTTTTTAATCCAAACACACATAAATTTTTATAGGTATAAAAAAGGTTTTAAATCCGGTTTTGGGACAAAACCGAGTAGGGTAGTAGCTGAACATTTATTTATGTTACACTGACAGAGTATTTAAAAATGTAAATTCATCATCTAGTTTAAAAAACTATTCACATGTTAGGCCATGATCGAAATAAAATTATACGGAGTAATAATAATTAATAAAAGATTGGTACTTTAGGTCATGTTCTCTTCACCTGAACTAATTGATTCTGATCTGATTAAAAAAAAGTTGTGATCTTATCTGGTCTGACTTGATCTGAATGTAGTTATATTTAAAGTTATTTCTGATATGATCTGATTTCAATAAGAATAAGTAATAAGTACTCACTCTGTCCCAAATTATAATGTTTGTTCACTATTCACATGTTCAAACTTCATTCACTTTCTTTCTCTATTTTCGTTAGCAATTTGATAAAATAAAGTACTATTGTCACTACTAGTTTTGTAGATCTTTTGATGTAGTATTTTTTAATATGTAATTTTTATTTTTTTAATTTTATACCATTTGTCATATAAAATGATTTGAAAATAATTTCAGTCAAACATCGTAAACCGAAACAGGCGTTATAAAATGGGACGGAGGAGTAAAAAAGTAACTTGAGGAGAACTTGACCTTATCTGCTTCAGACTTTAAGTGCTACAGACTACGGAGTATGATTTTAAATTCGAGAGAAGAAGCGTTTGCTTAAGAGCATTGACAATGGCGAGTATTGTAATGGAATGTCATGTTACCTTCCAACCAATTCAATCAAATCAAGCGTGCAAAGAGTGTGGCATTCCATGGTTTGCAATGACAAGTCACCCCAATTGTGGCGTGGCACGGCAAAGTTGCAGATTTGGGGTTGCGATTACGGTGGCAGAGGGATTTGGATTTGCCTCGTGGATGCCTCGCAAAGCAGGGTGCCTCACCCATAGGCACGCATGGCAGAATCCCTCCTCTCTCTTCCCACGCAGCTGCAAGAAGCGGCTCTACTCTCATGGCAGGGCGAGGCAATTTTTTTACTTGCCCTTGCCAATGCTCTAAGTCTAATGATTCGAAATAAGGCTAATGCATATGGTTGTAGTTTAGTGGTAATAATTTCACGTTGTGGTCATGGAGACCTGTAAATTTTTATGGGCATAAAAAAGTTCTAAATCCAATTTTAGGGCATAATAGATTAGAGAAGTAGCTGATAATTTATTTATGTTACCTTGACAAAATTTATACAAATGTAAATTCATCACCGAGTTTAAAAATAATTCCCAATTAAGCTTGTGATTGAAATTAAATTATACGCAGTAATGATAATAATTAATAAATCATTGGTAATTTATTTGCTTTGGACTTTAAGTTCTAGGAAATACGGAGAATGATTTTAAATTCGGGAGAAAAAAGTTTGTTTATAATTGATGCTTCAAAGTATGGAAAAACAAGTGGCTGTAGTTTAGTGGTAAGAATTCCACGTTGTGGCCGTGGAGACCTGGGCTCGAATCCCAGCAGCCACATTCTCTTTTTTTTATTTATTTGCAAATGTGGGAAAATTATTTTGTTTTGACTTCTTAAGTTTTTTTTGTAAATGAGGGGTTTTTATTTTTTCGAACTTTTGAAAATTCTCACATTCTTCTTGTACTTTATTCGTCCTAAAATAAAATTTCATAATTGACTAATTAAGAAAAACTATTAATGAAATCTCCTATTAGATAACTAGATAATGTACAATTTTTATATGATATAGCTTCAAATCGATTGCACAATTTGACTCATAAAATCTAAAAGTAGAAAATTGAATGATTAAGAAAAATATTCAAGAAATGTACTACCTCTGTCTCATTGTCTTTGTCTAGTTTTGACTTTTGGAACTGTTATCTAAGCACTTTGACTCATCAAATTCTCTCAATGTGTAAGCCTAAAAATAGTCATGTGTGATCTTGTTTGATTCGTCTTAACATATATATTATTAATATATAATTTTTATAATTTTTTAATATACAAATTACAAGATAAAATGGATTAAAGAAGTGCATTGGATGGTGTGCCAAAAGGTAATTGGACAAAGACAGTGGGACGGAGGTAGTATTAAATTAAAAATGTGCACTCTTTTTTTGATATAGCTTTAATGTCGATTATGCAATTGACTCATGTAATCTAAAAGTAGAAAATTGTACATTAGTTGATTTTTGTTTGAATTCTCACATTTACTCTTACAAATCATTTGCCCTGAAATAAGATTACGTAAATGACTGATTACAATTATTAATAAAATAATTTTTAAGTTGGATACACAAAAAAAATTATGCAATCTTATTATGAGATCAATGTGGAAATACTTTCTTTTGTCCTTTGCATATTCTCAAGCAATTGCGCAACTGAGCTTTTCTTAGTATAAGATGTTAAGAGGGTGTTTGTGAGTGTGGTGAGTTATGTAAAAGTAGAAGTTATAATTTAGAAGCAGAAAACATGTATTTTTAGATTTGCTAGAAAGTACTTCTAAACCTTAATTTTAACTTCTAAAGCCATAATTCATAAGCTAAAGCAGATTAGCAAACATTTAAAATTGTGTTTTAGTAAAATAGAAGCTATAAGTTATTTTCAAATGCAATCTCAAACACCTTCTAAGACTTATTAAGATTATATTATCTTTGTCCCAGAGTATTTCTCCATTTCTTATTTTTTTCAATCAATTATTTTTCAACCTTTGACCTATAAATAAATAAAAATATATTGTATATTATTTATATAAAATAATATTTTGAAATTATTTTATATAATAAATCTAATAAAATTATTTTTGCATCGATATCTAATATTATCTTTATTTAATATAGGATAAAAGTTTGTCAAATTTTACCGAAAAAAGTCAACGGATAAATATTTGAGGACGAAGGATGTACTTTAAAAGGGCTTTTAGAGCTTTAGTAAAAAAATGTTTGAAGTGGCAGATTAATTTGAGTAAACAAACTTGTAAAAGAAGAAATAAAAATGGATATTTAAATCCGGATAAGACCAGATATATAGGATGAGATCAGATAAGAGTCGGATTAGGGGTTAATTAATGATAAATCTAAAATTAACAAATCCTCTATTAACGTTCGAAATTCTCTCTCTCTACCTATAAATACCACACGCGTCTCATGCATTTTGTATAGCTCACCCAGTTTGTTACTTTGATTTCGATTTTTTTCTGAGTAGAATTAATTTGAATCTCCTGGAGGTAGAGAATATATAGAATGGAGCTTGATCTTTCCCCCAAGTCGGCGAAGAAGGTGTATGGAGGAGACGGCGGTGCTTATTACGCCTGGCTCCCGGAGGAGCTCCCGATGCTCCGTGACGGTAACATCGGCGCCGCCAAGCTTGCTCTTGACCAGTATGGCTTTGCTCTTCCCCGATACTCTGATTCTGCCAAAGTCGCCTATGTTCTTCAAGGTATCCCGATCCGTTTATTATTAGTATTTATTTCTGCAGAATCACTTGATTTTTTGGTGTGAAATTTAGGCTTTCTATGCCTCGTGATTGTCGTTTTTTTTTGTTTGAATTGATTAGCTCTGTGTTGTTAATCGCGGTTGCGTTCTGGATTTTTCCGATTTCCTGTTTTGAAGCTTCGTGATCGTCGATTTCTCGCATACTCAGTCCAGTAATTAGAACTGTGTTGTGAATTGTGATTTGATTTTTCTTCGCATCCTCGGTTAATTCATTAGATCTATGTAACAATGTTATGGATTGCGATCATGCTTTTAATTTGATGTTTCCTGTAACTGTTCTGGAGCTTCACGATCTTCAATTTTCAATGCATCCTCTGTCAATTAATTGATTATTACATCTGTGTTGTGAATTAATTTGTATGAAATTATTATCGCTCCACTACTACAAAAAAAGGGCAAAGGCACCGGTTGTTTTGTATCTTTAGCGTCGGTTTTAACCGATGCAAATACGAGCGATGCAATTGGTCCAATTCAATTGCATCACTTTAGAAACAACTGATACATTTGCTATTTTATTAATTTAAAAAAAAGGGTATTAGCATCTGTTGTTTCTAAACAACCGATGTCTTTGCTATTTTATTAATTTAAAAAAAGAGTATTAGCATCGGTTGTTTCTAAACAACCGGTGCTTTTGCTATTTTATTAATTAAAAAAAAAGTATTAGCATCAGTTATTTCTAAATAACCGGTGCATTTACTATTTTATTAATTAAAAAAAGAGTATCAGCATCAGTTTTTTTCTAACCAACTGATGCCTTTGCTATTTTGCTTTTTTTAAAATTAATAAAAAGGGGGTATTGGCATCCGTTGTTTAGATACAACCGATGCCTTTGACGTTTTATTTTTAAAAATGGGCAATGACCGAATAACAGATGGCAAACATCACACAATTGAGTAGCAAATACTCCGTATAATTGGAGCAATCTGAATAGCAAAGACAATTTAAACAAAACAATCCATTTGAGTAACAAATACAATTGGAGTAATCTACATATCTCTAAATTTAGATTTTTCTTTGGAAAATAAACAAAGAGATACTACATTTCCGTAAGAATTTAAGGAAGACTAGCTTACACTTAGTGTCAATTTTGCAAGACCACTGAAGATCAGACTGTTTACACTTCTCTAGTATGGTTGGCCGGGCAAAGCAAATCTGGAACTACTTTGTGGCTTTGCCAACATTGTTGATGGGTCATACTCAAGACTGAGGATTACATTGAGGCAACATATTCTGAAATAGAATCTGATATTAAAGAAGAAGTCAGTAAAAGATAAAATTAAGTAAGAAACTAAAAAGATAAAATTAGGTAGGAGTACCTGATAACCGGTAAGACTATAGAAGCAACTAAATATATCAAGAAAAAACCCAACAATACTAAGTAAAAATAGGTAAAAATAGGTAGTAGACATCCAATGGAACTTTTAAGTACTAGCAACCTATTCAATTTAAGTTTACCTTTGCTTTTTGTAAATTGGATCCAACAAGTATGAAATAAACAAATAAGATAAAATACAAAAGTTTCCAAGGTTCACTACATCAAATGAATTAGAAAAAAAAGAGATCAAAGTAAGGGATCAAACATCTATGCTGCTGTATTTGTACCTGCAAGTGAGACCATGAGTAAACATTCCCCGTGCTTCTTGTAGTTATGCATCAACATTGAAGAAATAATACTGGCATCTCTACCATGATATGTCACTGCCTCCAATTAGAAAAGTAGCTCTAAGCAAAAGATATCACCTAGGGAAGCTAGTGGGAACATATTCAGAGCAAGCTATGAACTTGAGAAAATTCAAATGTGGATGTTTGAGGCCTCATCTCACTGTAAACAATAGAAATTAAACCATAAAAATAGATGAAATACTAGAATAAAGCAACTCACTGTCCAATTTACAAATTGAACAAACAAAAAGCTATGAAATGGAAGATTCGACCTTTACTCGTCTATCCGTGGTTCTGTACTCAATTTCGCCCTTAGTTGAAATCATTTCAATTGGACTCTGTTCTTCGAAGAAATATTTTCTGTTTTTTTAATATCATTGTTGGTAGGGTTATGTTTTCCCCCTATTTCATGATTTTTTTAACACAACAAATTTTTATCTCTGAGAATTTTAGCACCTGATTTTTATTTCTCTACATTCTGCTACTTCAAAATTTATCTCTAAGAAACCCTTCCTAATGAAATCACATCCATACTTGCAAACTGCTCTTACATTCAACTTTCATAATTTTTAAATGTTATAAGTATCAAATATTACTTCTATACATCTGGTCCTTTCCAAAAAAATGTTTTTTAGCAATTGGATTTCATCATTATATGTTTACTTTGATATGAATGGTTCAAAGTTAGATATGTACCCTAAATAATATACCTTTATTTGTTCCAGGAGCTATTTTAATGAAATGAATACTAAGCTAACAGTAAGTTATTTCATATACATTGAATATACGGAGTATCTTTATTAAAAATATAATTTGTTCCAAACCAAAACATATTCTATTCAAAGCACTGCCTTTTTTTTATTTTTATTTCAGGTTTAATCCCTTTTTAAGAAATAGCTTTTGATGCAAGTTCGTTCCATTATCTCCGATGGAGCCAAAATTTCACCATTTTTTGGCTTTGGGGTGTGATGGAATAAATCAAAATGGATCTCTAAACTGTCTGCGCTTCTTTAATTAATGAAGTAGCAGTTAGTCAAGCAATGCAACTTTCGACGTTGAGCCGGGGGTCTCTTTGGAAACAGCCTCTCTACTTTCGAGTAGGGGCAAGGTCTGCGTACACACACCCTCCCCAGACCCTACTCTTGTGGGATTTAACTGGGTTGTTGTTGTTGTTGCTTTTGATGCAAGTAAGTATAAATATAAATTAGTATGTTTAATTTGAAAAGAATATCAAAACTAAATAAGGCTTGTTATTTGATAGAACTGCCGGATTACTTATTCGATATAACTTCCCTTCTTTGAGCGTTGATCCAAACACTGGTATTTCTTCCTTTTGATAGACTCCAAGGATGTGGTTTCCCTGATTTTTTTTCAGACAATTAATATCTTTTTGAAAAGTGGATAGCCACAAAAGTCTTGAAGAAAAGTACCTCATTATCGTGAAAAATACACTCCCGCGCATAAACTTCTCCGGCATTCCTGTATGATATCAGATCGTAGGAACGAATTAATCTTAATTTTAGATTGGCACTAAACGTAGATGGTTTTAAAACCATCAACCTCGTTGCAAGGGCAGGCATTTTTGAAAAGTATAAGGCTGATTGTTAATAAATGAGTGTAGTGAAGGAATTTAGGGGAAGGGTGTGTAGTGTTATAGAGTGGAGTGGTATTTATACACACAATGGAATGTGTTGGGTTCTTAGAACTGACTTTGTCTACGTACTATGACTTGAATGGTATAATATATGCTGAGTTGCCTTCTTAGAACTGACTTTGTTGGTCTTTACCTCCTGTAATGGATATTTGTTGTGTAGTACAGGGACCAAGTTCATTGTATGTCTTGTAATTATGTGATTTATCATATTTTTGCAGCCATGGTATATTACATCAATGAAGCTTGATTACTTTAAATAAATAGAGGCAGTGATTTAATGTTGCTTTGAAATGGGATTTTAAATGTTTTTTCTCCTTTTCACCTCGAATTGAGATCTGAAAATTGTGATGTAAAAATTTTGAAGATTCACTGAACATGGTTTGATGCTGTGTCATGAACACTGTGGAGAGGGCTTTCAAAGGTGTAGTACTTGGCTGGATTTATTGATGCAATGAATGTTGAGGCAATGGAGATGGCTTTCATTCGTGTAGTACTTGGCTGGATGTATTATATTGAGATGACATGTGGTGTTATATGATTTGTCCAGTGGTGATTGTAAATGTTTACATAATGAGATGTAATGTATAGTTGCCATGTGTACCAAAGTGTTTATAGCCATTGGATTACAATTTTTGGCGGGAAAATTGGGCATTGCAATTGGAATGGATTTCCATTCAGCTTTTATATACTCCCTCTGTCCAAAATTAAAGTTCCCGATTTGACCGGGCACGGAGTTTAATAAAAGTTAAAATTTACATTGACTTTCCCAAAATACTCCTCAACTTTACCCACACCCCACTGTTCCTGGACACCGTTCTGCAGCCCATCCCATAACCGGCGACTCAACTGTGAATTTCCGGCCAGTGAGATATTCCGGCGATCCAATTTTTCCAGATCTGAATCCTTCTCCGATTCACAGATCTGAATCCAATTTTCCAGATCCGGCACACAAGAAGTAGAAGAAAAAGAAGAGAAACGCCAAATCGGACGGGGGGAAGAAGAAAAACAAGAAGAAGAATAGAAAGGAAAAATCAAAATGGAGAAAGAAGAAGAAGAAGAAGAAAAATCTGAAGGAAATGAAGAAGATGAAGAAAAGAAAATAAGGAAGGAAAAGAAGAAGAAAAAATCTGAGGAAGAAGAAAAAACAAAAGAAACGAAAAATCAAAATGTGGAAGAAGAAAAGAGAGAGAGAAGGAAAGAAGAAGAATCAGAAAAGAGAGAGAGAAGGAAAGAAGAACGGAAGAGAAGAAAAGGAAGAGAGAGAAGGAAATAAAAGAAAGAAAAAGAGGAGAGAAGAAAAAGAAGGAAAGAAGAAAAGTAAAAGAAAAGAAGGGTATTTAAGTCTTTTTGATAAAAAAAGTTACCAAAAAAATAAATGGGAACTTTAATTGTGGACATCTAAAAAAGGAAAGTGAGAACTTTAAATATGGACGGAGGGAGTATATATATATAGTAGACTTGGTAAATTTTAACTTTGGCTTGTTATATATAACAAGCCTCTCAAAATATAGCAAACCATGATATTGATTAAATATTTAATTTCTCTCTTCTTTTCTCTCATTCTTCTTCTCACAATATTTAGTTACTTCTACTCTCTAATTTTTTACTTTTGTAAAGTTTTTTCTCTACTATTTAAATGGTATTTATTAAATATTATAAATAATGCTATGTATGTTTTATTATTAACCCTATAGTAAAATATTACTCCGTATTGTTTTTTGAAATTATTACTTTTAAATTACATACTTATTACTTAATTTTTATAATATAAAATAATAATGGAATAATTCTTATAAAGAGTGTATTATAATAGTGAAAATAATATAATATACTCCCTCTGTCCACCATAGATCTTTCCAGACATTATTCACAAGGTCAAACTTTACTCACTTTGTTTGCTCATTTTTACTAGTCATTTCGTAAAATAATATAGTCTTGTCACCTCTAATTTTGTAGAACTTTTCATGTAGTTTATTACTATATAAATTTTATTTTAAAATTTTACTCCTATAATCAATTAAATTGAATTGAAAATAAAGTCGGTCAAGCCTCGTAACGCGTAATGGGAAGATCCTAAGTGGACGGAGGGAGTAATTGTTAGCTAAATTTTAGCAAAGGAAGGTAGGAGATGACAATGTAAAATGACTTGTTATACCACTATTCACATGCTAAAAAATGACTTTAACAAGTCATGTTTAGCAATTGTGATTGGAAATGCTATTAAGTTCCCACATTAGCTCTAATTTTATCCGTTGATTCTCTTGAATTTTCTACTTTGCTAATCTTCACTCCATCTCAAATTAAATTACAATTTTTCATTTACGAAATAAAATTTTATATTTTTTGAAATATAATTTATTTAATAATTTGAATAATAATTAATAAATTTACACACTAAAAAATTTTGTCAAAAATTCTACAAAATAAAAAGGCAACAAAACTTATCGAAAGATAGACCCCAAAACCAATTTGGACGGAGGAAGTATTTAATTTCTTGAGTGAGATTATTTTAAGTTGCTGTATTTTACATAAATACTTCATCCGTCTAAAAACGAATGTCATAGTTTACTACTCTCTTCGTCCCCCATTTTTTGACCACTTTTGACTTTTGGAACTGTTCATCTAAACACTTTGACTCATCAAATTGTCTCAATGTGTAAGCCTAAATATAGTCATGTTTGATTTGTCTTAACATATAGATTATTAATATATAATTTCTATAAATTTTTTAATATACAAATTACAAGATAAAATGGATTAAAAAAGTGCATTGGATGGTGTGTAAAAATGAAAGTGGACAAATACAATGGGACAGAGGGAGTATTAAAAATCACTAGAATTTTTATTTATTTTTATATTTTCATCGATTATTTGATAAAATAAAATATTTTTCTCAATTCTTGTTGTGAAAAAATTTTGACGTAGCATAAATATGTTAATCTTATTTTATTTTTGTACTAATCTTAAAATAGAATGAACCAAAAAATTCAAATTTTGCTTCATTTTGTCTAACGCGCCTTCGTCCACCAAATATATTCTCATTAAATGTTACGAGACTTGATCAACTGTATTTATTTTTAGGTGTAAAATTTAATGAGAAATCCATATAGTAAAAAATTACATGAAAATTACCTACCTATGTACCTATGTGTAAATGAACCTCTTGCCAAAACAATGTGTTACGGAGGAGATTCAGTAATTCGTCCACTAATTCCACTTCAACCAGTGAGACCAGCACAAACATCTCCATCGGGATTTGGGACTCCATGATCAATCTGCAATCAAAACTCTTCAAATTCAGGATCTCGACCCTCAATTCCTGCAATATTGTTCCCTCAGGGCCTCCATCATATCATACTCGCAGCCGTTCGCCTCAAGAACGCCCGAGAAAGATCTTCAAGCGCAAGCCAATCCCTTTCATTGCAGATCTGAAGCAAACCAATGTAGCAGAAGATGTCATCTCCCTCTTCCACGACTACCAGCGATCGACGGTCTCCAAGCACGACTACCCTTCATACTCCTCTGCAATCTACAAGCTCGCGAAGCTCCGGAGCTTCGATGGCGTGGATACCCTTCTCGGTCGCCTCAGAGCTCACAATATCCGTTGTGGGGAGAGCCTCTTCGTCGGGCTGATCGGGCACTACGGGAAGTGTGGGCTTGTAGATAGAGCGATTCATCTTTTCCACGAGATGGATGTCTCTTTCAACTGTGTTCGCTCGTTGCAGTCCTTCAATGCCATTCTCAATGTGCTGGTGGAGAATCGGAGGTACTGCGAAGCTCATGACATTTTTAGGGATTCTCGCAGGTTAGGGTTCCGCCCCAATTCGGTTTCCTTCAACATCATGATCAAGATGTATCTGGAGAAGGGCGAACCCGAAAACGCCCGCGAGGTGTTCGATGAAATGCTTGGTAGAGAAGTTGAGCCCACTGTCGTAACGTACAATACTCAAATCGGGTTCTTGTGCAAAAGGGGTGAGTTTGAAAAGGGAAAGCTTCTGTTTGAGGACATGGTGAGGAAAGGGAAGAAGCCGAATGAGGTCACCTATGCTCTGCTGATGGAAGGGCTCTGCATTTTGCAGAGGTTCAATGATGCCAAGAAGATGATGTTTGATATGGAATACCGGAGCTGTAAACCTCGGGTTCTTAACTATGGTGTTTTGATTAGTGACCTCGCAAAGAGAGGAGAGATAGGAGAGGCGAAACGTCTCCTGGTTGAGATGAAGAAAAGGCACGTCAAACCAGATGCTGCGATCTATAACGTGTTCATCAGTTACTTTTGCAGAGAAGATAGAGCCGATGAAGCTTACAGAGTCTTAGTTGACATGCAAATTGCAGGTTGCAGACCTGTTGCAGCCACATACAGAATGGTGTTTGATGGGTTCTGCAAGACTGGGGATTTCGGAGAAGGTTTGAAGGTTTTCAATGCAATGTCGACGAGCGGGCACTTTCCACGCACCGAAACACTTTGTTGTCTGGTGATGGGCTTGTTAGAGCTTGGGAAGGTTGATGATGTGAGCTTCATTTTAGAGGAAATGGTGAAGAAGAAAAGGGTGTTTGATTTCAAATCATGGGAAGCTATTGTCAAGGATTCTTGTGCTCAAGATAAATCATTTGACAACCTTATAACTGAAATTTTGTCTTATTGTGTAAATTAATGGGATTGCATTGCATAAATGAAATTGTCTGTTGTAGATTTGGTGTGTCCATTTACTAGTTAAAAGAAAGATATTCATTTTGTATGTTTCTTTATTTGCATACACTCAGAACAAACATGCATATTATGAAATTGTATGAAATTGATGTATGCATATTTAATAATTGCATCACTTCTAAACAATTAAAGATAACAAATGAAATTGCAAAAAAAATCAAATACTTGTATTGATTTTTTTTATACTATGTTTATTGTATGTCTGGTATATGCACATTCATAACTTACAGAACATTTATTCAAGATAAAATAGCCAGCAAAATGAAATTGACGTCTCTTTGCAACAATAGAGAAAAAGATAATCTATGTGTTTTATACTCCCACCGACCCAATTTTGATTACAAATCAGGAATTACGAGGTAAAATCTTGCGACTTTTGAAATTATTTAATTTACAAATTCGTGCGTCAATAAAAGATAAAAGTTCTATATTAAAGAACTATGTCAAAAGTTCTATAAAATAAGAGGTGAAAAAAGTATTTTTTATCAAATAATCAATAAAAATACATAAATAAACAAAATTTATTGGGAGCAGAAAGAAAATAAAATTGTAATCAAAATTGGGACGGAAGGAGTAACTTTTATTATGGGTGATAGCTAGCGTACAAGAGCAACTTGTTCCTCAACAAAATCAAAAAAAAATATAGAGTTAGATATGTTTTTAGTACTTGTGGAATGAATGTTTTCCTTTAATTCCTCTAGTTTTTAAAAATCAAATCATCATTACAAAATATTTGTTTTTGCAAATGGTCTTCCCACCAACTTAGAGCTAAATTGTTAGGGTATATAAAAGGACTAAAAACAAAATCACTTTGGATTTAAAATATTGTAGAGGAACTAATAACAAAATCACTAATTTTCTAGGGACTAAAAAAAATCAATACTAACTCTTAGTTTAAAATAAATAGTGAAAGGACTATTTGCAAAATACATTATTTACAATAATGATTTAATAAAAAATATTTTAGAATGACTAAAAGCCAAAATCACTTATTTTATAAGGACAAAAATATATGAGTAGTAATATCTTTCACATGACGAGTTACTCATGAATCCCACAATTTATCGAATACCTATGCCATACATACGAATGTATGATACTTTGTGTACATCTGCTTGAATACTCATTTTCAAGTAATTGGATGCTAACTTTTAAGTAGTAGAATACTCATTTTTGAGTTACTAAATACTCATTTGCAAGTATAACTGAATGCCCATTTACGAATATGATTAAATTTTAAAAAAAATGAGTATTCAGTTATTTAAAAATGAGTTATTTTTTTTGATCAAAAAGGAGGGGAGACCCCAAATTAACTCAGGTGCACTCTACGAACTCTTGTAGCACCCATCATGTCATCAGCAATGATGTCATCCATCCCAGGCGGAGGGTCCTCGTGGTCTATCCAATTTGCCTCCTGAAAGGTTCCAATTGTAGCAAGGCGATCAACCGCAAAGTTTTGCTCTCGATAGATGTTTTTGAACTCAAGCCTTGTAAACTTTCTTTGCCAGTTATGCTTAATCTCATCAATGATATCGCGATTAGGGCCCCTAAGAGAAGTGTAGTCGGCCATCCACTTTATAACTTCACTTGCGTTTGTCTGAACTTCAAGTTCCTTAACACCCTTTTCCCAAGCTCACTCAATACCTCTAGCAATTTCCATGACTTCCACTGACGTCGCACAATTTGGACTAACATTAAATACACGAATTTGGTCCAGCCCAATAGTTTAATGACCACATGAACTAAAGCCTACATGAAGTAGTTATTCCGAGCGACCAAAATAGAAGAAGGCAGTCCTAGTCACTTCCGGCGCACGGAGTTCCCGCTTTGCCGTCGCCGGTTCCCCTAGTCCGGCCGTCCTTACTGTGGAACGGAATCTACCGCCTATCCCTAGCCATCCGAACCTACTCAGCCAAAATAGAATTCCAGGTTTTTGGGGTAATGTTTATGGTGGTAAAGTTTTGTGTTCGTAAATGTTTGTGTTTTATTGATGTTTTTCTCTTTCAATTTTAGATTTATTGAATCCCTAGATCTTCTCCCCTGAATATGATATCCCTATTCTAAAGCTTTGGATCACAGGAAGATGCCGAAAGGATCTAAAAAGCGTGCCAGAGTAGAGTCGGAACCACCCTACCAGCTCGATTCACTTCCATGGAACTCTTCTCTCCCTGAGAACGACGGTTCCCTCGACCTTCTCTTAGGTTCCAATGAACTCGGAGGAGGTACCATTGTTTTCCTTTCTTTTAATATGCATTTTGAATTTTTTTCCCTGCAATTTAAAGCTTTCGAAGTCGACAAAAATGAAATAAATTTCGCATAAATCTGAATGAATTTATTATACTCATCCAAAATAAATTATTTGTTCAGTCATTTTTTTTCCAAATTCTTTGAGGTAAAGGGAAAGCAAAACATTTTTTCTTGGTTTTAGCATTTTCTGTTGAACTCTTATTGTTCAATTCATCATGAACTAGGGTTTTTATCACTGGAAGAGATTGACGAAGTAAATTATGAATTGGAGATTCAAAAGTTGAGTGGAGGAAATGAGAAGCTTAAGACGCAAGCAAAAAAGCAGAAAATAGATGAATGTCACGATGATTCAAAGGCCGTAGGCCGAAAAGATGAAGAGGAAAGCAATCAGAACAGGAAGAAAAAAAGTAAGAAGAACAAAGATAATCTGCCGAGCAAAGCAAAAGAAAATAAAGGATTGATGGCTGGTTAGTGTTGCTAATTATGAGCTTTGATTCTTCTGTTAATGAGTTTTATTGACTGACGGTGTCAACATTTATGGTGTATTGCATCAAATATCAGTTGTTTATATTTTTACTTTTAATAAACGTGGAGGCTTTATGAAGTACGTTTGTCTTGTTATTTCAACTTCATGGCTTGTGAGGCTGTACATGCTGAGTTGATAATCATGCTCGCTTCAGATTTTGCATTCTCCTTGAGCTCTGAACAATGACCATATCAACCTATTCACAGTAGATGCTTTCTTGACTCAATTATAATCAATTAGCTTTCAATCAAGTTGAATTTATTGGGATTTCTAGAACATTGTTATAGTAAACAAGCATGTTTTGTTGCATCTTGCATCTTTTGTTTTCTTTTGAAGTTTTTATGCATTGCATTCTATATTTTCTTATTTTTTCTTTGACCTCTTGCATCTTTTGTTTTATTTTAAAGTTTTTGGACTTTTGGCACTCTGATTTTAGGATTGTCACGCTTCACTTAATTTTAAAAGTAGCGTGGATGTCAACTACAAAAACAACATTAATAATAATAATAATAACAACAACCCAGTAGAATCCCACGAGAGTAAGGTCGGGAGAGGGTGTGCTTACGCAAATCTTACCCCTCCTCGAAAGTAGAGAAGCTGTTTCCTACAGAGACCCATGGTAGTGTGGATGTCACTTTAAAAAATGAAACGGCTAAATTGAAGATAAATGACACTCCTGCCTTCATCTCAATTCATATTTTAAAATTATAATTCCTTTAAAAAGTAATTTAAATGCATATTTCAGAATAATCACTCAATTAGCCTTTTTTCTATTTTATCCTTGATACCATCAAATTAAGTAAAAGTTATTTCTTCCAAATTCATCCATGCCAACGGACTTGAAATCTTAAATTAAGTAGCCGTAAAATATTGGTACTATGTTTTTTTATTACATGAATTTAAGTGATAATCAATCTACATTATTTCATGTACCGACCTCAACTAGTTGAAATTAAGGTGGTGGTGATCATGGGTTCCTGGCCATAGTTTGGTGGGCTTACTGTCTGAAGGGGTGCCTCCACCAAAGATGTACGTAGTAATAAAATAATAAAAGCCAGAAATTCATTGTAGGTATATATGTGTGGTGTGTGTATTCTTTTATTAACATTTTGTTTTTGCTCCCACAGTGCCATACTTAATTAATGTATTCTTTAAACATGAGTGGTATGCTTTCTTGCATTTATTATCAGCTTTACGTTCCTTCATTGTATGCCTTTATGTGTTTTCTATAATATATATTCTGGGAATCGTTATTATGGTTGGCTGGCATGAATTAGGCTTTTTGTCGATGGAAGAGGTTGATGAAGTTAAATATGAATTCGAGACGTCAAAGTTGAGTGGAGGAAATGAGAAGTCAAAGTCAAAGATGAAGACACAGACAAAAAAGCAGAAAATCTTTAAAGGCCGTAGTGATTCAAATGGTGAAGAGGCCGAAGACAAAGATGTTGAAGAAAAGAATCAAAAGAAAAAGAAAAGTAAGAAGAACAAGGATAATCTGGCAAATAGAGCAAAAGAAATTACAGGATCAATGTCTGGTTAGTTTGAATTCTTCTGTTAATGAGTATAGTTGACTGATGGTGTAAAAATTTATGGAGTACAATTTATTGTATTCATTCTTTATCTATCATGTCCATGCTGGGATGTATTGTAATTTACGATTGTCTTGGACATGTTCATATTTCGGCTTCCAACAAAAAAGGCGATTTAGAAGGGGATTTAGTAGATGATACTGAGTTCTGTGCATGGAATGAACTGAGACTTCATCCCCTGCTTATGAAATCAATACAGAGACTGAATTTCAAAGAACCAACGCCAATACAAAGAGCTTGCATTCCTGCTGCTGCTCATCAAGGAAAGGTTGTGCCCGTGATGCAATTGGGTTTGTTGTTACAAACAGCACCTTGTCAATATTAATGCTAGTTAGCTTTTGTAACAGGATGTTATAGGTGCTGCAGAGACTGGATCAGGAAAAACACTTGCATTTGGTTTACCCATTCTTCAACGCCTTCTTGAAGAAAAAGAAAAAGCTGACCGAATTACTGCAACAAATGGAGAGGTAGATGAAAGAATAGCTCCTAGAGAGCTTCTTCGGGCGCTAATTATTACTCCTACAAGAGAGCTTGCACTTCAGGTACATGTGATTCCATATAGTGCATGTGGGCTACTATTGCTTAATTAACAAGTGTTCCTTCTTCTTCAGATCTCAGATCACATAAGGGCAGTGGCAAAACATACCGATATAAGGGTTGTTGCAATTGTTGGTGGTATGGCAACTCAGAAGCAAGAAAGACTTTTGAAAAGAAGACCAGAAATTGTGGTTGGTACTCCTGGGAGACTTTGGGAACTTATGTCAAGTGGAGAAATTCATCTTGTAGAGGTTAGTCATCACTCTGATTATAATAAGTGTTAATTGTATTGAGGTATTTGTGCCACAGCTCCTTTTTCCAAATACAGAAAAGGATATGAGATTTTGCTTCTTTCAATGAGAAGTGATGTTACTATCGATCATATCAGTACGATCTTATGCTATATCATTTGCTAAGTTATATTGCATGGCAGCCATGGCTGACCCTTATTTTTATACCTTCTGAAGTATTCAATTCTTTAAAATTCAAAAATGTGCATTACAGCTCCTTACTCAATGTGCAACCACATAAACGACTAAACGAGGAGCTATCTGTTTGACTCAGGCTACATTCTGGAAAATGCCTGGCTAATGTTGAAAATATTCCTGTTTTTTCATGCTGTAGTGTTTGACTATCATGCTTAATATGCTAAATTCAAGTTCGAGACATACTAGTATAAAAAACCAAACTTAAAATCTTCTACAACACATGGAGAATGTTACAGTAATGGATTGTCCAATGCTTGTGGGATCCTCTCATTAGATTTTTTAGGCTGGTTCAGTTTTTACTGATTATGTATGGACAGGGACACTGGGTTGGGCATTGATGAATTTCCATGTGATGTGTTTGGTCTGTCACGGGTTTTCATGTCGACTATAGTGTACTCGTATGCTTCACAAACTTAAAATAATGGCAGATCTGCAGAACCACTACTAAAAACGTAGTCAGCTAATTTTTTTTCTCTGTAATCCTATATGCTCATCCTATCCAGATATCTTCACTTGACTTTGTTCACCATTGAAAACTTCTAGTTGCAAATACTTGCTTCTTCTCGCTAAAGCGGTCTCTCAATCATGATACATTTCCCTTATTTTAAATACAAAACATGGTTTTCCTGCACCTAAACTATTCCAATTTGAGTTGGGCCTTCATTCTAAACATCCACAAATTACACTTCACATTTCTCATTCAATCCAAATATTTTGTTATCAATGGGAAGAGGGGAGAGCGGGGGGG